CAGTCTCTGTCATGTGTTCTCTGAAAGTTTTTGTTTGTAATCTTTTTTAAATGTAAAGACCAATCTTAGCTCTTAGGCTCTACAAAAGCAGGCTGTGGGCCCAACTTGGCCTTCAGACTATAGCAGTGATGGCGAACCTATGACACGCGTGTCAGAGGTGACACGCGAACTCATTTTTTTGGTTGATTTTTCTTTGTTAAATGGCATTTAAATATATAAAATAAATATCAAAAATATAAGTCTTTGTTTTACTATGGTTGCAAATATCAAAAAATTTCTATATGTGACACGGCACCAGAGTTAAGTTAGGGTTTTTCAAAATGCTGACACGCTGAGCTCAAAACGTTCACCATCACTGGACTATAGTGTGCTGACCCCTGTTTTAAATAGTGGTTAGGTCTCCAGCTTAGGTCCCAGAAGCAAAATTAACCCATCACATGTTGCTAAGTTACCAAAGAGATAATAATATATTTAAAACTGAGATTAACCAAAGAACTTATATGCATATATGCATAACCCATGGACGGATAATAACACAGTGAAGGCCTAGTAAGGGGGTAGGATGGGAGGGAGGGAGTCAATTGGGGGAAAGAAGGACATCTGTAATACTTTCAACAATAAAGATAAATTTTAAAATAAAAAACAATAAAATTGCTTTGTAAAGTATAATGTCTGTATCAGTGTGAAGAATTATTAACAGTTCTTCAGTGTTTAGCATGTGAGTAACTTTTTAAAATAAAAATTGTTAAAACTGAATAAAAACATTGTGTATACAGTAGGTCCTTGGGTTACGTCGGAGATCCATTCCTACAGCGCAACGTAACACGATTTTCCTGTAAGTCGGAACCCACCTACATAAGCACCTATGTCACTCACATGGAGCACATACACAGCAGTAATGAAGTGAAACAGTAAAAAAAATTTAAAAGAAAGATAACAATTCCTGACCTTTACTTGTGGTAAACAAATAAATAATAAAAAACATAAAGCACATATATACATATGTCGAAATGATGGAACTTTTTTTTTTAATAAATAAATGGGAAATGGCAACTTAATCACAAAATGATGTACATTGAGTCCGACATAACCCGAGGACTGACTGTATATAAAAGGCTAATATGCTAAGTGTCCAACCGTCCAACTGGTCACTATGACACGCACTGACCACCAGGGGGCAGATGCTCAATGCAGGAGCT